GGGGGGGGGGGGGCGGGCAGGGGAGGGACAGAGCCAAAGCTCCCTATGCGAGGGAAGGTGGGGGCTGCTCAGGACCGGAGGCGAGGAGATACTGGCCTCCGGGCGGTGGTGGGTGGTACGGTTCTCCACGTCCCACGTCCTCAACGCCCGTGCCCCAGGCCCCTTGCTCAGCTCTGGGGTGGGGCCCCCGCTGGGCTCTCCATGTGGATGCCTGAGGCTGAGCCGGTACACCACCCCCAGCAGCCACGCTCCCACCCCTGCTCCATCGGCCCCACCCCTCCTCGCAGTCTGCCTTCTCAGCAGGGCATCTGCGCATGGAATTCTTTGGGCAGGAGGCACTTGTGGTCCTGCCTGACCAGCTGGCTCCCCTTCTGGGGTCTGTAGCTATCTCAGGTGGTGCTGAGGCCGAGGCACGGGTAGGAGTGGATGTCTGTTCTGATGACGGGCTGCCTGCCCCTCGCCGTGCCTCCGGCCCTCTGCCCCTATGACCCCAATGGGCTGGCCCGATTGCTCATCTTCCTCAAGTGCCCTGGCCCCGGCGTTTGGGGCTGGACACTCAGGACCAGCCAGCCATGCTCAGCACACCCCATTCATAGGCGGAGTGAGGGTTGGAGCCAAGGGGGAGCGAGCTGCTTCTAGGGGGCCCTGCCCAGCCCAGCTGGTCCGGCCAGTGACCAATGTCGTGTTTCGTTCTTTTAGATCTAATGCTGGACGATGTAAATGCTTCCGGCAGCTCCTCCAGCGCGGCGCCAGGTACTGCGTCTGGGGTTGTGGGTTCCAGGGCGAGGCCCGGGGGCAGTCAGGCCGTACCTGCCCCCAGGCCCGCCTCATGCGTGCTGGGATGTCCTCTTTGCTTCCTCCCCCCCCCTCCGTGGCTCATTGATTCCATCCTCCTGGGGCGAGGGAGTGAGGGTCCCCGGGGCGCCGCCAGGCTCTGCGTCATCCTATAGGCCTGTGCTACACCGGCCGGGGGCTGAGGGCCTTGCACGCCCCTTCCTCTGACCCCTCGTGGCGGACCCTCCTTCTCCCGCAAGGCTTCTGAGGGCCGAGCCGCCCAGCCCCCTGCTGCCCGGTCCCACTCCCGCTCCTCCTCCCTGTCACACCCTTCGATTATTAGAGCTGCAAATCTCGCCCGTCTCCTTTTGTCTGAAGGGAAGACTTTGATCCAAGCAAAGCAGGATGAGAGGAGCAGAGAGGGAAAGGATTTGTTTTAAAAATGTAACGATGAATAATTGAACAGACTCATTAAGAGTCAAGTAATCGCGGTGGCCACGTCATCCCTACGAACAGCAGGATGGGGAATCTGAGGCCTGAGTTGGCCATAAGCTTCTCACCCCTAAAAGCCAAAGATTTGGGAGTGAATTGGGTCTTTGTCTTTGAGAGCCGTGACCCCCCCCCCCCCCCCCCCCCCCCCCACCTGCCCCCACCGGGATGGCTTTGGTCCCCTGCCCCCCCCGGGATGGCTTTGGTCCTGCTCGCCCTCCCCTGGTCCTCTGGCCGCTGCCTCCCCCAACACGGGCCCTTGACAGAGGGTCAGAGGCTCGGAGACCCCGTGACAGGCCGTGGGGCCTTGTCACACTCTCTGATGTCTTCCCCAGGTGGTTCCCAACCTGTTCATCCTCAAGGGCACCCCTCATCACGTCCTCCAGCAGATCCCACATTTTAAGAGACTGTCTTTGAAGTTACGAGCACCTTCAGTAATGACTTTTTTTCGCTGTTTTTACTAATCAGAGGCACATCTAATTGCTAACCAGAGCTTCTGAACTGCAGAGGGTTTCACGCTCAACGGTAGCAAAGAAAGACCATTTTGCCATCAAATTAGTCCGTGGGGCCTTAACACAGGCCTATGTATGATTTCTTTTAAGCTTTTAGAAATATTGAAAAGAACGTTAAGGACCCCCATGTGGCTGCCTTCTCAGGCTGCAGAGGACTTGAGACTTCAGGCTGGGAACCGCTGGGCTGGGACTTTCTCCACTATTCTGTGCTCCCCCAGAAGCCAGACCCCGGCAGACACTGCCCTCTGGGTGCTGGGCTACCTGATCTGTGGGGGCTCAGGGACCCCCTGAGCCTTGTTTTGGGAGGCCATCCCTGAGGGTTGATGTCTCCTGTCCCCATGATGCCAAGCTATGGTATTTGTCATTGAGAGACCATCTGTCTGGGCGCTCAGGAGGCTCTTGCCGATTCGTAACTATTTGCCTGGGTCCCATGTCTCTGTGTCAGGCTGTACTGCAAATTCCTGATGTGTTAGGGGTGAGGGAGGGCGGGAGGAAGTACCCTACAGGTTTTCCCTTACGGGGTCACCTGGCCTGCAGGCCGAAGTGTCCACACATACACATTTACCCCAACACTGTCCTGGCCTGGGGCTGGCCCACAGAGGCTTCTCCACCAGGAATTAACACGCTCAGACCCTCTTGGGCCCAGAGCTCCTCCCAACACACCCATTCGATGCCCAATACCTTTGTTACCCTCACGCTGCACCCCCATTCCAGTCACATTCCGCCATGCGCCCGTTGGCACATACAGGCATATACCCTGATGACAATAGCGTGTCTTACCTTTCCAGCTGGTAATGAAGACTCAGAGACCCTTAATAGGGGCTCAGATCACCCCCCATCCCTCTTTCCCAAACCTGGTGTTCTGTGTGGTCGCTGGTAGAGCTTTTCAAACTTCCGTGCGTGTAAGAATCACCTGGAGAACGTACTAAAACACAGATGCTTGAGCACCGCCCTAGAAATTCTCATGGAGCGGTCTGGGGCAGGACCTGAACGTCCGCATTTTCAATCAGTTGCCAGGGGACGGTGCTTGGTCTAGCCAACTGTGTGATGCCCCTAGTCTGGGGCAGCTGGAATCAAACCCCCATGCACCACACCTCCCGGCCAGCGCCGCTCTCGCTCTGTGCCGCTCCCAGAGGAGGGGGCCAGCCAGACCCCAGGGAAAGGCAGAAGGGAAGCGTCCTTGATCATCAGGGGAATGGGCCTGACCGGGCACCTGGGTCCAGCCCAGCTTCCAGGCGAAGGGAGGGACTGGGGCCACCGGCTGATCGGGTGACCGCTCCCCTCAGCCACCTGTGGCACCTGCGTCCACTCACCCTCTCTCCTTCCGCTGGGACCCAGTGATCAGGCCTGGCCACAGCAGCTGAAGGTGTGGCCTCTGCCCTAGGGGGCCTGTGTCCCTGGGAGGGACCTCTGCCTTCCGCCTACTCCCTGTCACTCTTCCTTGCAAACCCTCTGCCCTGGCTGTGCCTCGGGCTCTACTAACTACCTGCGCCTGCTGCCCTCACTCACAGCCGTGCTGTCCCTGCTCCTCTCCTGGCTCTTGCCCTCGGCTGGGGGCTGGGCAGTCCTGGAGGTGCCCTCCTCCTACTGCCCAGCTCTGCCATTTTCTCCGCCTAAGGCAGCTCGTACTGGTGGGGGGCAGGGAGAGGGGCTATGGCCGGAGCTCTTGGAGCAGCAGACCTGCCCAGGGCTCTTCCAGGAGGTCTCTACTTCTCTGAGCTCAGGCAGGGGGGTGGTATCATCCAAAGCCTAACGGCGAGAGCCTTCGGGCAAACTCTTCGAGGTCTAAACCCACCAGGCAGCTGGTGAGGGATTGGGGCTGGGAGTTCGGATCCTGGCTCCGTCACGGCCTCACCATGTGTGGACAACCCACTTGTGCTGGACCTCGTTCTCTCCCTCTGTAAAACAAAGGGTTTGACCAAGGACATGCTGATCACATTGGCCCTGGGACTCTTTGGACCTGTGCTCTGAAGGGGGATTTCTGGCAGCCTCGGCATCTGCTGGTCTGGGGTTGGGACTGGGGCTCGAGCCGCAGACCTCAAGGGCCTGGCACCTGTCGCTACGAGCAGATGCCCGGCCTCAGCCCTGTCCCCACCTTTCCTATGGGCTGCGGGGAGGGGGGTCCCAGGCTAGTCCCAGCCCACCTGCCCTCAGACAGCGAGAGCAAGGCCAGAAGGCAGAGGTGGTGACAGCAGCCCCCTTCAGTTTGGGGCTGCTACCTAGTCAGGCTAGGGGGACAGGGGAGAGGGAGACTCTCCCCACCTCTCCTCTGCACTATCTTAGCTAATAATGGGGCTAATAAGGAGCTGCTTTTTCTAACCTAATTGTATTCAAACATTTTAGTTAATTCTCCATTCATATTTTAGCTTAATGGGATCGGGTGCTCTCGGCACTTATGGAGATTAATGCAGAGACAGTGTTCCAGCTGCTAAGGCAACGCAGGGCGATTAGCACCCTCTGGTTCTTGTGGGTACTGAAGGAAGGAAGACGCCCGGCTCGCCGGGTCCACCCTCCACAATCGCAGTGTGGATGACCCGTGGCCTCATGTTGTCCCTTGTCCTGAGCTTCTCCACCCCCACCCCGTCCTGGGGATCAGGAGAGCCACCTGAGCTAACAAAGCCACAGTTGGCCGGCCCATCTCCGAAAACGAGATGATGGCATAACCCACACTGTGGTGTGCCAGAACATTCGGGACTTCCGGCCTCTTGGTTATCCACACATCGAGGCCGATGCTGGAGAGTGGCGTCAGGCGAGGCTGAACGTGCAGCTCTTGGGCACTCTTCTTCCTTCGGCCTTGGGTGGGAGGCCACCCCCTGGCCACCCCCCAGGCCACCCCCTGACTCAGTTTCCCTCTCTGTGAAATAGTCCTCTGCATGGGGAAGGACACTTATAACTGAGCTGGCCCGGACCCAAAGCTTCCTGCTGCCCCTGAGCCAGCCACCCCTGGCACGGGCCTCAGAGGCTGCAGCCCTCGCTGGCTGGCTTCTGCCCTAGACGTTCTGAGGGGGAAGGGCTGTCTGGGACCTGAGGCTGCCCCAAGCCTCCCCACGGGGAGCCTCTTCTTTCTTTGTGGCTGCCTGGGAGACCGATCTGTCAACCGCCTCCAGATGACATCTATCCCCAACTTGGCCTGGCCTTTCCTCAGCACCTGGAGGAGGGGGCCCCCTGCCATCTTCTGCCCCCAGATTCATTCCGCCTGCTTAGCAGGCCAACCTTCTGGCACCATGATTTTATAACTAAGTGGTTCGCTAATTACAAGAGAAATATGCCTCTGACAGATCTCAGACAGTGCTTCCAGCCCAGCCTGGAGCCTGATGCTAGCCTGCCACTCGAGAGCAGGGCATTGCCTCGTTAGAAACTGGGTGAGTCCTTCAGGTGGAGCCCTCCCACGTGAATCTGGGGGAAGAGCAGAGCCCCGTGGCCTCCCCTCTGCCCCGCACCCCCCGTGAGGGCACCGGAGGCCCAGGCCCCTGCCCCTCTGGAGGCCCTCAGGACGGGTCAGCGCGGCCGGCCAAGAGGATGTCCAATTTCCAATCTCTGGTGTTAGCTCCAAATCCCAGCTCTGTGTAATCTGCTCTGCTCCCCCTCAGGGGGCTGAGCTTGAGAGCAAGGGCCTTTGCCTCTCTGCTGATGGAGCTTCCTCTGAGCCTGATAAGACCGGTTGTTTTTCGTCTTACCGATCTGGCCTTGCTGCGGAACGCCAAGTCAAGGGCGTTGCGAGGGGCCGGCGGATTTGGGAGGCTGCCTTGGGGAGGGGGCTCACCTGGTGTCTAATGTGGGTGGGGAGCTCTGCATGTCCTGACCCCTTCTGCACCCAACTGTGGCCAGTAGAACAGACGCTTGGAGGGCAGACGCGAGAGAGCTTCCCCCGCCCCCGCCCCGAGGAAGGCGGTGTGTGGAGGGCGAGGATGCGGATGATACTGGAATGTTTCAGCTCTGGCATTAGAGGCTGGCGGCTGTGAGGGACTTGGGTGGAGGGGGCGCAGCGGGCAGGGGCCCGACGGCTGCTCTGCTCTCCCCCCCCACCCCCCGCCCCACCAGAGGCCCAGTGCAAACCCTACTATTCAGACTACTCTCGCTTCCGGCTCCTCGTTCACCACTTGTGCACCAGCCATTATCTGGATCTCTTCATCACGGGTGTCATCGGGCTGAATGTGGTCACCATGGCCATGGAGCACTACCAGCAGCCCCAGGTAGGAGTGAGTCCTGCCTCCAGCCGTGGGACTGCAGGCTGAGGCTACCCCAGCCCGTGCCAGGGGACCTCGGGCAAGTGCTGGGCGCCCTCTTGTACACCTTGCAGTGGCCCCTGGAACTGGGTATCGTCTTGGTTTTACAGATGAGGACACTGAGGCTCAGAGAGGTTAGTCGACTACACCAAGTTCCCGCAGCTGGGAAGTAGAGGACCTGATTTCTTTCCCCGACAAAATATTTATTGAGTGCCTGCCACGTGCTTCCTTCTTTACCCTTTGAGGGTAAAGAAGACAGACCAGTGAAGGCCAGTGTCTGCCCTTCTGGAGTTTAGATTCTGGTGAATGTCCAGCTCTAAACTCACCAATGATCCTGCCACTCCTCGAATCAGCCACCGTCAGCTGTCCTCCAGGCCTCAGTTTCCCCATCTGTAAAATGGGGATGTCGAATTAGTAATGCACGAGGCCCTTTCCAGGTTCTAGCCTTCTGTGGCCTCCAGCACGTTCTCATGTGGTCTCTTCACCATCCCTCAAGGAGAGAGATCCTTTAGCTCAAAGTTTGGCTCATGCATGTGAATGAGGACCCTCTTCTGTCCCGGTGTGGTGGCCAGCGGCCCCCTTAGACTCACCTGTCTCCCAGATCCCGGAGTGTGATGGAGGGGGAGGGGCAGGCATCACCCCTGGGCCTTAGGAGGCCCTGCATAGACACCCCCCCCCCCCCCCCCCCCCCCCCCCGCCCCATCCCTGCCAGATCCTGGACGAGGCCCTGAAGATCTGCAACTACATCTTCACCATCATCTTTGTGTTAGAGTCAGTCTTCAAACTCGTGGCCTTTGGCTTCCGTCGGTTCTTCCAGGACAGGTAACAGAGAAGGGTGGGGGGTGGGGGGTGGGGGGGAGTGGGGAAAGGGCATGTCTCCCAGGGAAATGCCTGAAAACCTTTCTGGACTCCTGAGGTTCAGCCTCCACGCTAGGACCCACCCAGGGCTGATGGCGAGGGGGAAGGGGGGGGGCCGTCCAGAGCCTGGGAGACGGGAGGGAAGGGAAGGAATTTGACAAGACAGGGCCTGGGGGCCATTGGCAGCTGGAAGTCCATGTGGCCCAGACTGGGGCTTAAGAGCACAGAGCCTGGAGCCAGACTGCCTGGACCGGATTCGGATCCTGGCTCTCCCACTTAGAAGCTGGTGACTTGGGGTAAGTGACTTAACTTCTCTGTGTCTCAATTTCTTCATCTGTAAAATGAGCGATAATAATACTGTCCGTATCACAGAGCTATGAAGATTAGGAGTTTTTTTTGTAAAGCCCTTAAAACAGTGCTTGGCACCTAGTAAACAGCATATAAGTGCCAAATTAAAAAAAAAAAAATGAATGAATACACATGGAAAGTAGAGGTCCTCGAGCTAAAGTCTTGGCCCCACCCGTGCCACCGACGGGCTGTGTGACCAGGGTCAAGCCATGCCTTCTCTGCAGGATGGGGAGGTGGGACTGGCTGACCTCCACCCTCCTTTCTGCAGCCACTTGTGTTACTTTGACTGCCCCCTCCTCCGTGGTGCCCCCGGCTCCCCCCCACTCAAGGAGCTGTGTCCTGGGCTTTCCAGGTGGAACCAGCTGGACCTGGCCATCGTGCTGCTGTCCATCATGGGCATCACGCTGGAGGAGATCGAGGTCAATGCCTCGCTGCCCATCAACCCCACCATCATCCGCATCATGAGGGTGCTACGCATTGCCCGAGGTTGGTGCCCGCCACGCGCCTACCCAGGGGGAGATAGCAGGGGTCAGCTCTGTGGCTGGCCAGGGACTTTGTACGTGTGTGTGTGTGTGTGTGTTCCCATGGGTCTCTCTCCCAGCCTTTGACAGAGGGGAGGGCCGGGGGGCTGGGCCGAGGCAGGGCCCTGGCGGCCTGGCTGGCCATCCCACCGACCCCAGCCCCCACCCTGGCCCTGGCTCCACCAGCTGTGTGGCCTGGGACCCAGCGGGGCCCGCTCACAACTTTGTCCTGTTCTGCAGTGCTGAAGCTGCTGAAGATGGCCGTGGGCATGCGGGCACTGCTGGATACGGTCATGCAGGCCCTGCCCCAGGTAGCTGGAGGTGGGGCTGGGTGGGAGGGGTCCCCTCGGGGCGAAGGGGGTGCTTTCCAAAGGGAGCTCAGGGAAGCTGGCTGGGAGATCCAGTGGCACCTTTCCCATTTCTTTTCCTCTTTTCCAGGTGGGGAACCTGGGACTTCTCTTCATGTTGTTGTTTTTCATCTTTGCAGCTCTGGGTGTGGAGCTCTTTGGAGACCTGGGTGAGTCGGGGTGGGGAGGGCAGAGGAGTCAGGGCTGGAGGCCCCGGGGCTGCTGCACTAATTCAGGCCTCTCTCTCCTTCCCTCCTCCTCCAGAGTGTGACGAGACGCACCCCTGCGAGGGCCTGGGCCGGCATGCCACTTTTCGGAACTTTGGCATGGCCTTCCTGACCCTCTTCCGAGTCTCCACAGGTGACAATTGGAATGGCATTATGAAGGTGAGGGCGCACCACAGTCGTGTCTCCCCCCGCCCCCCCGCCCCCGGCTGGCCCTGGCCCCAGAGACACGGTGCCACACCTGGAGCCCAGATTCCCCGGCAGG